ATGGCCAATATGCGTTTCGCCTCTTGTGGCTTCCTCAGTTGGCTCTATAGTCCTAAACAAAGTTCATGTCCATTATAAATGCTTGTGTAAATTAAAATGCGGGTTATTTCTTCTTGGAATGCATAGATGCGTTCCATTGATTAATTTACATACATTTCCGGTTTCCGATGTCACTTCCGGATTCCTAAATATAGTAACGAGTGGAACGCATAGTGCGTTCCACTCACAGTCACTTCCTACTTCCGATACGTGTGTCCTCAGTCTTGCGTTCGCAGGTGGAACGCATTCATGCGTTCCACGTCTTCTTCACTTCCTGGTGCTCGATCTTATTGCGGTCACGTGCCTTTTTTTTGTAAAAAGAGGAACAAGTGTCATAAAAAGCACTATATAATCGAATATGAGTTCACACTATATAATCAAATATAAATTCATAACATTGAATGGACTAAAACAGAGGTCAAATATAAACTTGATATACAATATTAAAATGTTATTTCAACATTCTTTTAGAATCATAGATTATAACATCTGAATTAATAATATAAATAAAGCAATCATAGAAATAGCAATATGAATTATATTCTTTAAAGTGACAATGTAGAGACAATGTAAATATGTACTGACAACCTTTAAAGTGATTGTGCAAATTAAGTGAGATTGGTAGATATCTCTATAGACTTTTAAAGTGACCATGCACATTTTATACAATTGGTGGTATCTTAATTAATATAACATAATTGATAGAGAGACAAGAACGAAGGTGGGGTGGGGGGGGGGAGAGGCTATATATTTAATAGCCCAATGAAAAAAATAAAAAGCTTATTAAAAGTAGTTGGATCTGACGTATTTTGTAATATCTTTATAGAGGGGAGTGGGGTTTTAAACTCCAAGATGGTGTTTAATACAAACTGATCAAGAGGAGGGAGAGAAGAAGAGAGGAAAAAAAAAAATAATTACATTTATTATATTAATAGTTAACCAACTGGTTAAAAATGGAATTCTAAAAACTATAAAAAATAGTTAAAATATAAAAATATAAAAACTTTATGTTAAAAAACTTGGGGAAAAAAAATATAAAAAAATATATATATGTAATATATATCTAATATATATATAAATATATATTGCAGACAGCTTCAACAGATAGGGGAAACACCAGGGAAAAGATCGAGATTATCAGAAGAAGGGGAAATAGAAGAAGAAGAAGGAACACGGGGCAGAGAAAAAAGAGGCAGAAATTAAGCACAGAAGGGATTTTTAATCTGACAGGATCTCCATTAAAAGAAGAACAAACTAACATTTTAAAGAAGGGCTTAAAATTTGCTCCCACCTCAGATTTTAACAAATTTGACTTTTTTATTGATATTAATACATTTATTAGACAACTATCTTTAAAAAAAAATTTTTAATAAACAACCCAATATTATCATCGAAAAAGAATCAGAATATATACAAACAGAAGTGAAATTTAAATCCTAATTCTTTCCCAAATTCATGATTTCAGATGAAATAAAAACTTTTGAAACATTGCTAATAAGAGATGCACAAAAGATTAAAAAAATAAATAAATTCCAAAAAAATCTTACTATGCCAGAATTTAAAGCTGTTAAAAATTTAAGGAACAATGAAAGTGTTATAATCAAGCCCGCAGATAAAGGGGGAGGAGTTGTAGTATTGACCGATAGTCATATACAAGTAGCAGAATGAATCCTATTGGACACTAATACATATAAAAAAATAAATACGAATCCAAGTTTGGTTTACAAGAAAAATTCTAAAGTTATATTACAAAAGGAGTTACACTAGGAATTCTAACTGAAGATGAAAAGAAATATCTATCCATTACACACCCCAAAACACCAGTTTTTTATTATTTACCTAAAGTTCATAAAAATAAAAACAACCCCCCAGGGAGACCAATTATTTCAGGCATAGATCTGATTTCTTCACGGGTTTCGGAATATATAGATAGATTACTACAACCAATAGTTATAAAGAATCCTTCCTATTTAAAATACACTATCCATATGCTACAAACCCTAGAAGAAATCAAATGGCAAGAAAATTATTTGTTGGTCACATGCAAAGTTAGTTCGCTATACAGCATTATACCTCATCATTTGGGAATAGAGGCACTAAAACATTTTTTTTAAAAATCAGATTTTAAAGAAATACAGATAGATTTTATTATAGAGGGTATTTTACTGATTTTAACGAATAATTATTTCTGGTTTAAAGATTCTTTTTTCTTACAAATTACAGGCACGGAGATGGGCACCAAGTTCACACCAAGCTATGCGAATTTGTTCATGGCATATTGAGAGGAATTAGTCGTAACACAAAATATACAAGCTGCGAGCTTGGTGTCCTATCGCCGTTATATCGACAATATTTTTTTCATATGGAAAGATGGCGAGAACCATCTAAAAAAATTTTTAGACTTTTTAAATCATAATGAGTGGGGGATTATTTTAACGTCCACACATAGAAATAATCAGATTAATTTTCTAGATCTGGAAATTTTTATTTTCGAATCAAAAGTACACACAAGGAACCATTTCAAAGAAGGGGATGCAAATAGCTATATTGAGAAAGAAACCTGCCATTATACCCCCTGGTTAGATAATGCTCCTAAAAGTCAATTCCTAAGAATAAGACGAAATTGCACACAAGACAGTGACTATATAATACAAGCAAAAAGAATTAAAGAACAATTTGTGGAAAAAGGATATAACCCAATAGAATTAACAACATGTATGGAAGAAGTTAAGATGATGAAGAGGAATGAACTTATTAGGCATAAAGGAAATATATTATGAAGAAAAAAAGATTCAAAAAATTATAGCCTATCAAAGATTCCCTTTATATGCAATCATAGTGAGAACATGAAAATAAGAAAAATTATCCATAAATATTGGCCAATTTTACAAGAAGATCCCATTTTAAAACAGATTCTACCTCCCAAACCAATGATCGAATATAGAGGATGTAAAAATCTGAAACAGATGGTGGTCAAAAGCAGCTTCACTACTAAACAAACCGAACACTTTTTAAATAAAAATGTAAATAAAAAAGGTTTCTATGGGTGTGGATCCTGTCTAGCTTGTAGGGAAACTAATCAGAAGAAAAGACAAATCACTTCTTTTCACTATCAGAAAGAGAAAACATTTACGATCAAAAACCAGTTAACTTGTTTTTCTAAAAATGTCATTTACATCCTTAAATGCTCTTGTGACCTTATATATGTGGGAAGAACCATTAGATGTTTGCATATAAGAATTGCGGAACATATAAGGAACATCAAAAAAGGTTTAGAAACACATAGTGTTTCAAACCATTTTAAAACTCATCATAATAAAGACCCCCAAAATATGTTTTTCTGTGCAATAAAAGCAGTACAAAAAGATTGGAGGGGGGGAGATTTTAACAAAAAAATAGAAGAAGAGATGAAATGTATCTATAATTTTAAAACACTAATCCCACATGGTCTCAATCAAGATTTTGAGCTATGCCATTTTTTATAAGTCTATATATATATATATATTGTCTATATATATATATATTGTGTTTTGTATTATTTGGCCCCCAGCAGCACCCCCATTTATGCATGTTCAGGTGAGTGCAGCCAACCCCCCCTTGTTTCATATTTATATATTTGGGAGTCTAGCCAACTCCTTGGTTTTGCACCCCTCCCTGTCACAGGTGCCTCATCCCAGGGCCCTATTTAGCCTTGTACTGCAGAGAGCCCCAGATGGATTTTTTTCCTCAAGTAAGTGGTTAATCTCATAAGAGCAGACATTAGGCTGTTAGTGTAGGACCTGCCAAAGATGGGGTACATTGACGTTGTGGCAGGCTTATGCAATGTATGATCATATAATGTAACTAAACCCCCATTATTTTTGCCTAGATTAGGTGTTTTTAAAAAAACAAATAAAATCTTTCAACATTGAAGTTGCCGTTTAGTGGATAGGTGAGTGCGCTGGATCTTGTGTTTTATATATATATATATATATATTTATTTTTTTTCACAAGTTTTTCAACATAAAGTTTTTATATTTTTATATTTTAACTATTTTTTATAGTTTTTAGAATTCCATTTTTAACCAGTTGGTTAACTATTGATATAATAAATAAAACATTCTTTTTTTCCTCTCTTCTTCTCTCCCTCATCTTGATCAGTTTGTATTAAACACCATCTTGGAGCTCAAAACCCCACTCCCCTCTATAAAGAGATTACCAAACACGTCAGATCCAACTACTTTTAATAAGCTTTTTTTTTTTTTTTTTCATTGGGCTATTAGATATATACCCTCCCTCCCCCCTTCATTCTTGTCTCTCTATCAATTATGGTATATTAATTAAGATACCACCAATTGTATAAAATGTGCATGGTTACTTTAAAAGTCTATAGAGATATCTACCAATCTCACTTAATTTGCACAATCACTTTAAAGGTTGTCAGTACATATTTACATTGTCTCTACATTGTCACTTTAAAGAATATAATTCGTATTGCTATTTCTATGATTGCTTTATTTATATTATTAATTCAGATGTTATAATCTATGATTCTAAAAGAATGTTGAAATAACATTTTAATATTGTATATCAAGTTTATATTTGACCTCTGTTTTAGTCCATTTAATGTTATGAATTTATATTTGACTATATAGTGTGAACTCATATTCGATTATATAGTGCTTTTTATGACACTTGTTCCTCTTTTTACAAAAAAAACGGCATGTGACCGCAATAAGATCGAGCACCGGGAAGTGAAGAAGACTTGGAACGCATGAATGCGTTCCACCTGCGAACGCAAGACTGAGGACACACATATCGGAAGTAGGAAGGGACTGTGAGTGGAATGCACTATGCGTTCCACTCGCTCTTATATTTAGGAATCCGGACTTGACATTGGAAACCAGAAACAGGAAATGTATGTAAATGAATCAATGGAACGCATCTATGCGTTCCAAGAAGAAATTACCCGCAAATTTTAACTTACACAAGCATTTATAATGGACATGGACTTTGTTTAGGACTATAGAGCCAACTGAGGAAGCCACAAGAGGCGAAACACATATTGGCCATATTGATACTGTATTTTTCCATTATTTTATATACTTTTTATGTTATAGTATTTAATAAATTTAGTTCTATCATCCTATCCATTGGATCCTCTGCAATTTATTGGGAACCAACTTCTATTTGGACACACCAACTATCCACAGAAGGGTTAGGATCACCCTGGAATAGATCATGGAGCCAGCAATACCAGAGCCAGGTCCTATATTGGCTCTGATTTTGTGAGTATTTCCTTGTATATGCTATTCTTAAAGATTTATTGTTAAACTATTTGCACTATTATGTATACCTCTCTATCTCCACAGCACCTTATTGAGAAGAGAGGAAAAGTATATGCTCCATCCATTGTGTTTGTACTGTATGTATTCTTTTTTGTTGGTATAGGGGATACCACACGGGTGTTTTTTGAGCATTATTGTCACTACTAGCTGTATCACTGAGATTTGTTTTATGGATTGCTATCATGGAAGGAAAAATGAATTCCCAAGTTTATCAAGACATTTTGCAGGAGAACTTAAGGCCATCTGTCTACCAGCTGAAGCTCAACAGAAGATGGGTGTTGCAACAGGACAATGACCCAAAGCATAGAAGGAAATCAACAACAGAATGGCTTAAACAGAAGAAAATACGCCTTCTGAAGTGGCCCAGTCAGAGTCCTGACCTCAACCCGATTGAGACGCTGTGGCATGACCTCAAGAAAGCGATTCACACCAGATATCCCAAGAATATTGCTGAACTGAAACAGTTCTGTAAAGAGGAATGGTCAAGAATTACTCCTGACCGTTGTGCACGTCTGATCTGCAACTACAGGAAACGTTTGGTTGAAGTTATTGCTGCCCAAGGAGGTTCAACCAGTTATTAAATCCAAGGGTTCATATACTTTTTCCACCTGCACTGTGAATGTTTACATGGTGTGTTCAATAAAAACATGGCAACATTTCTTTCTGTGTTATTAGTTTAAGCAGACTGTGATTGTCTATTGTTATGACTTAGATGATGATCAGATCACATTTTATGACCAATTTGTGCAGAAATCCATATCATTCCAAAGGGTTCACATACTTTTTCTTGCAACTGTATATATATATATATATATATATATATATATATATATATAGTAGAGATGTGAATTCCTGCACTCCAACTATCAAATTGTACAGCCTGATGCCCAGTAGCAATGTAATATAAAGTAGAAAAAATACCGTCACTCTAGGTCTTCCAAAAGTCGCTTTTTATTTTTTTTGTCAATCCAAAGGGTCAACGATTCAGCCCCCGTTCGGAGCTTTCATCAGGACACATCAAAGGCATTTCACAAAATGAAAGGCTTATATAGGACTAAAAATCATAATCAACACTCACCAAACCAGCTGCTCATTATTTTTCCTGATACTCGGTGCATAGTGCATAGAAATCTTAATAGGTATTCTAAGTAAGACCTACATGTATCTTGTGGGTAATAATAAGTATATTGCTTAATCATTTTTAAATAGAAAAACAATGTGTAATGGTATAAATTAAAAATATAAGTGTCAACTTTATATAGTGATGTAGAAGTAACTTATAATCAATCTATTGTGTGGTGAATAAACTGTATACAATGTGTAGTAGTATGAATTAAAAATCTGAGTGTCAGATCTATGTGATGATGAAAAAGTGACTATAATCAGTCCATTCTGTAGTGAATAAATTCTGTACATATCATAATTAGTGGTTAGACATGGATTTCATAAGGTACAACAATAGAATTTATGTGATATTAGTCTATTCTTATTAAAAAAAGATCAGTTCACACATTTAAAAATGTGTCATAATTTATAAGGAATTCAATGGCCTCCTAATAACCATGGACGTAAATAGCCTGTACACGACAATACCCCATGAAGAGGGCATTGAAGCAATGAGGAAGTTGCCCACAACATCCATACACTACCAAGGACCACCAATTGAATTCATTATGGAACTTCTATCGCTAACATTAAATAACAGCTATTTTTGTTTTGAGACCCGATGGTTCCTCCAAATCTCTGGTAAATCAATGGGGGCAGCAATGGCCCCCATGTACGCAAATGCGTACATGTATGATTTTGAACAACAACATATTTTGATACACTTTCAAGATCAAATTGTGAGATATTATAGACATATTGAAGGCATTCTGATCCTATGGAGTGGCTCTAGAGATGAAGCATTGTCGCTATTTGACTATATTAACAACTTATCTACTCCAATTAAAGTAACCTCACATATTGATGACAAGTGTATCCAGTTTTTGGATGTTGAATTGATGGTGGTCAACCAGAAATTAGAGTACAGACTATATACGAAGACTACTGATAGTAACACTCTTCTGCACTATGAAAGTTTTCACCCAAGAAGACCATTAAAAAACTCACTTCCATTTTCTAAATTTTTACGAGTATTCCACAATAATTCCCAGAGCGAACCATGCGAGGAACAATTGAAGATTATGTACTCAAAATTTTCAACGCGAGGCTACAAACGGCCAGAACTGGAGAACGCCATGAACAGGGCAAGACTACAACACAATAATATCGTGAAAAAACCCGATAAAGAATGTAATACCAGGATGTTATTCCCGATGAAACTACACACCTGATTCACTGCTATAATCCGACAGTATTGGGAAGAAAGAATAATGGCTGTGTGAGGTGCTTGGGGTTCATGACCTGTGGCCATATTATTCCAGACAAGACCTTTCCCCATCCACACACAGGTAAGGTTTATAAAATAGCCCATATAATACATTGCCACACAGAGTTTATCTAAAAGCTTACATGTCCATGTGGATTAAGTTATATAGGGAAAACGGAGACAGTTCTCTGCAGGAGAATTAGGAGCCACAGGTCTAGCATCCGTCTTGCCTACCGCAATGGAAAGACGGACAAACCTGTGGCCAGACATTTCCTAGAGAAACAACACCAACTCTCTACCCTGAGATGTTTGGCCATTGACCATGTTCCAGAAATGGCTAGAGGTGGCGGCAGAGGAAAACTCTTGCTACAACGAGAAACATACTGGACATTAGAGCTTAATACATTATCTCCCAAAGGCCTAAATGAGAAATGTTCCTTTATCTCATTCCTATGACCATAACCAGAGATCATTTAGTGCATTCTACAAGGGTAAATAATCTTTCTTTTTATCTCTCCTTTATAGTGTTTCTTTTAACTATATATTTTTGTACTGCAGTATGTTGACATTGTGTACATTTTATCATGATTAGACACTCACCTAGCTGGCTCCATAGGCAGATTTGATATTAACAGAGTTTTCCACTACAATTCCTGTACAATTGTTAGAGTTATGGAATTTTATACTTTAAAACTTTGCTAAATTGTTATCTAGGATATACATAGTATCTTTAATAATCACTACATATGTTTTAAGTGGCACTTTATGAATTATGACACATTTTTAAATGTGTGAACTGATCTTTTTTTTAATAAGAATAGACTAATATCACATAAATTCTATCATTGTACCTTATGAAATTCATGTCTAACCACTAATTATGATATATACAAAATTTATTCACTACAGAATGGACTGATTATAGTCACTTTTTCATCATCACATAGATCTGACACTCAGATTTTTTATTCATACTACTACACATTGTATACAGTTTATTCACCACACAATAGATTGTTTATAAGTTACTTCTACATCACTATATAAAGTTGACACTTATATTTTTAATTTATACCATTACATTGTTTTCTATTTAAAAATGATTAACCCCTTAAGGACACATGACATGTGTGACATGTCATGATTCCCTTTTATTCCAGAAGTTTGGTCCTTAAAGGGTTAAGCAATATACTTATTATTACCCACAAGATACATGTAGGTCTTACTTAGAATAACTATTAAGATTTCTATGCACTAGATCAGGGGTAGGCAACCTTTTAGCAGCACTGTGCCGTTATAGGATTGTGATGTCCCGTAGCGTGCCGGCCCTATTTTTTTAAATTGAGGTGTGTATGCTGCCGTATTCTGCTTGTGTTATTTATACTGTAATTGCTTTGTATCGTTGAATATTTGGGCATATATGAGCTATTATGATGTGTATGTTCAGGAGTAGTTTGTGGTATCGTGTATGATGCATATGAATGTGGGCTGTGTATAGGGGCTGCTTGTGAAAATTGTGTGTTTGGGTGGATATGTCATGTTGTGTCTTTGGTAGTGTGTGTATGTGTGGGGGCTGTTTGGGGTATTTCATGTGAGAGACTGCATGTGGAGTTGTGTGCATGTATGTGGATTGTTAACAGGTTACGTTTCTGCGGATTGTGTGTATGTTTGTGGGCTGTTCATATTATTTGTAAGGGGGGAGGGTTATTGTGCATTTCTCTGTATATTTAGCAGTGTGTGGCTTCCCTGGGTTCCAGTGGGGACCAGGCTGGCCAGTTACAGGTCAAGGACAGGAGCTGCAACAGCAGCTGCAGGCTGCTCTACTACAGTGTGGAATCCCATTCACAAGTGCTGGGAAGAAGTGATCTGATATCACTTCCTCTATGTGCTGCAATGCATAAATTGAGGATTGTCCTTCATCACCTTTTTGTATTAGCAGGTATCTGAAGTTTCACTGGGACTCCTGATAGACCAGAGCCTGTTTGGCTCTAGCAAGCTTGAGTGCAGTGCAAAGACACCTTGAGTGCCGTGCATGGCACTAGTGTCGTAGGTTGCCTACCCCTGCACTAGATAATGTAAGCTCTTTACATAGATATCTAAGTGAAGTATTATGTATATAGAGCTGAATACCCAGTAATTTGCTCTTATGAATTTATATTGTATCTATTTCCCCATTCACTGCGATCTCAGCAGTTAGGGATAGGAACATATCCCCACGTCATCTACTGGGTGGACCTATTACTGATGAGAGGAGGGATTCTCCCCACGGCTTACGGAAGCACAATGTTGTCTATAGCTGCAGTGTTTCTGCGGTTTCCATGGCAATGTGACGTAGCCGCTTCATGTGAAGGACCCCTGCTGATTCATGACAAGGAGGTGATTCCTGTAACCGCACGCATGCGCAGTTGCGCTGAACAGACACCTAGTATCAGTAGAAATTATGAGCAGCTGGTTTGGCGAGTGTTGATTATGATTTTTAAGCCTATATAACCAAGTCATTTTGTGAAATGCCTTTGATGTGTCCTG